CAAACTCACAAAGATCTGCCTGCCTCTGCCTGGAATTAAAGGTGTGCACCACCACCTTCCGGCTATTTTGCTTCTCATAAGTAAGGTTTTTTAGGAGTATTTTGGCTATTTAACCAGATACAAACTGTTCCTTGATGAAACTAATTGTTTTATTGTCTTCTAAAAGACATGTAAGTGAATAGATAATCTTTTACATTTGGGAATTTTACTTTGAATCTTATGATTTACTCTTACAAATGGGCATGATCATACTTCAAAAGATCTGCATGCTGCCTCCAACTCTATGGCAAACAGGCAGGGGCTGCTTTCAATGACACTAAGAGCAGCTCCTGACAATCTCATAAAGTTGAGTTTTGGACTTCTGGAAAAGATAACTGAGCAAACTTTAGTCACTTTATTTTTAATGGTAGAATTCTAGAGTTCAGAATTCCTTTGCTAGCTTATCTAAAGTCATTTATATATTTGTCCTTGGTGAATACAGATAACTGAATACTTTAAATAAAGTAATGAAGACATTACATCTAAGATTCTCTTTTTCTTTAAACGTTCTACAAATTGTTCTGTGTTTTTATTTTTTTAAAAACATTATTTTTAATTACCTGTGTGTGAATGCACTACCTGCAGGGGCCATAAGAGGGCACTAGATCTCCTGGAGTTGGAGTTAGCAGGCAGTTGTGAGCTACCTGGTGGGTGCTGGAAACTGAATCCATTCCTTTAGAAGAGCAGGAAGCATTCTTAACCCCTAAACCATCTCTCCAGCCCCAGTCGTATCTTTCTGGATAAAAAGATACATCTTGGCAACATTTTTTCCCCTTTCAGATTTGCTGTAAAGGTTGCTTTTACTTACCCTATATATTCAAGGTGTTAAATTTTACTCTTACTGGGCAATCAGTGAAAATAAAGACTTAAAATATAGGTACAATTCCATCTGAATACAATTCACTGGTAGTCAAATTTTTACTACTTCAGAATTTCAAAATAAATGTATTAGGTATCAAATTTATCAGTCAGTGGAATGTTAAGGTATCACTTTGGTATCTTTAATGAATTAATAAGTAAAATGAACTGTTCACATTAATGCTCTTCTGAAATACAGAATGACTGACCAGAGTATCCTAGGAATTTATTTTTCTGTTCTTTACACTTTTGCTTTAATGTAGAAATCTGTTGATGTAAGTAAGATAGGTTAAAGTAATTAGTGCACTTGATATGAAAGCAGAAAAAAAAATCCATTTAAGAGTATGTGATTACATGATATCTAGGACAGATATTCCTATGTTCATGGTATAGAATCCACAACAATATAGGCAAAAACTGTACTTATATAACTTAAAGGTTTTTGTCTACTCATAGTCATTTCTTTATATAGCAATGTTTAATAAGATTGTAAAGGCAAAATATAAACTGACTAGATACACCTGGAAGTAATGAATGAATATTTCACACATAGTTACTAAAATATTTAAATATTTGGGTTTCTAAATTTTCAGATAAGTAAAGAGTAATTATTTACTATTTAGAAGGTACTAAGATAGTTTTAAGACTAAAGATTCAAAATGGCTCTGATCTGTATACATTAAACATTTTATCAATGTTATATTTATTCTAAGGCTTCAAAAATTTCTTGACTCAAATTCAGAGGTATAAAACTGTCTCCCAAAAGCTGATGTCCTACCGTGGTACTAAAAATAAGACCTTATTTGCACATGGGATTCTTGTGGATAGAATCAAGTTGGAATGTGGTTACAAAAGACCAAATGAGGTCCTATACGCCATGACTGGCATCTTCATAAGGACAGACATTCAGAGACAGATCTGGACACACAAGGAAAGTCATGTTAAGATAAAAGTAGAGATTTTAATGATAAAACTGTAATTTATAGGAATGTAAATGATGGTTGGCAACTGTGACAACTTTAAGAGGCAAGAGAGGGTTCTTCCCAGGGAGCCTTTAAATGAACAGAGATATTCTACACCTTATTTTGGAGTTTGAGCCTTCTGAACTTTGAGAAAATAAATTTGTACTGTTTCAAAGTTATCAAGCTTGTGATACTGTGTTGTAGCAATCCTGGAAACTCAAGAGTATGTCAAACAAGAAATTAACAAAATTAATATGTTCTTAGTGTTTTAATCTTTTAGAGAGATCATTACTAATAATTATTATTAGTTTTATTACTTCCCAACCATGAGTATAAGAATCTCTCAAGAGTTTTGGCTCTTCCATAGTTTTATAAAGTCCAATTTTTTTTTTGTTTTTTTTTTTTGGTTTTTTGAGACAGGGTTTCTCTGTGGCTTTGAAGCCTGTCCTGGCACTAGCTCTTGTAGACCAGGCTGGTCTTGAACTCACAGAGATCCGCCTGCCTCTGCCTCCCGAGTGCTGGGATTAAAGGCGTGCGCCACCACCGCCCGGCTAAAGTCCAAATTTGTAAATTATTACCAATCCCACCTTTTGATTTCTTTGTGGCCTGACACTGCTTGGTCATATTCAAGCAAAATTCACACACAACTGATCTTGCTGATTATTCTTAAAAGTGAGGTTCCAACCTTCTCCTACCAATGTTCATACTGTAGTTATTGCGTTTAGATGACAAAAATTCTATCCATCTTATAATTATCAATTTTTGTGTCCTTAAGAAAGAAAAAAACAATGGCAAAGATTATCAATAATAAGATACATCTGAATTCAGACAATAAACTAAACTTGTTACTTAGAATCAATTAATATAATAGAAAAAATTTATTTCATCCTGAGCACTTTGACTTCTTTGTCTCACTGCAGACATTCAACATTACTAGGTTGTATTATTTATAAAATATTGTTATTAAAAGGTTTTAGGGGCTGGAGAGATGGCTCAGCAGTTAAGAACATTAGCTACTCTTCCAGAGGTCCTGAGTTCAATTCCCAGCAATCACATGGTGCCTTTACAACCATCTTATAAAAAGCTCCTCTTCTGGCATGCAGGCCAGGCAGACAGAACACTCATACATTAAAAAAAAAAAAAAAAGTCATTAAGTAAATAAAATAAGCAAACTTACTAGTTTTCCTTAAGTATATGCATACTTTAAAAATTCTTTTTAAGATAAACTAGGGTAAAATATAAGTTTACTTAGCCTATCTATGGTGGGCAATGCTTGCCGCATATTCAATATCCACTGTGCTTTATTAATGCTGTTGTATTTTTGAGGTTAGGCTCTTACTACGTAGTGCTCTGGCTGTCCTCAAGACCCATCCACTTGCGTCTACTTTCCTAATACTGTAGTTAAGGCATGCATTGCTACAATCAGCTCTACTTTGCTCTAATTCTGTTCAAAGTAGTCATTTACTCAACAAATAATCTCTTTCTCAGATTCTCTGTAGCTAAGAAAATAGCACTAGTTTCTTAAGAAGAGCTTCTGGGAAACCTTCATTAGTGCATTTCCGACTACAAGTGCTATCTATCCTGTTCTAGAAGGCAAGTCAAGACAAGTCATCACCACAAAGCAAATAAGCTTACATCTAAACAGGTAACTAAAGATGGTTAAGTTATAAATAAATATACAATTAGCCTGGAACACTACACTGATTACACTGTAGATCCACATTACAAGTTCTAGACTTCCTATTCTAGAACATACCATGCAATAAAAATAAAATCTTGTTTGGTAAAGCCACTGTAGAAGGGCTCTGTTACATGCAGTTGAATGTAACCCTTAACTGGAACTAGTGTTCAAGGCTCTCCACAATTTGTTCTTTCAGCTCCTTTGGACTTTCCAAACTCATTCCTCAAAGATTCAAGTATCCATGCTCCTTTTATATATCACTTTGCATTAAATCTGCTGCTTACTGGATGTTCTAAACCATCAAGCTCTTCTACTAGATGCTTTGCTTGTTAACATCTTCACTTCGTGGGCTTATTTGGGCAAATTCTTGGTATTTAAGACTCCACTCAAATATATGTGGTTAACTTGCTCTTTCTATTGCTACACTAATAATGCCTTTTAATTTGCCTAACACAGGATCTTCATTAGTCTGTTGTAGTCACTTACTGATATATCTTTATCTCTTTTGTTGTAAGAATGATGTCTTCTCCTTACATAGCACCATGTGTTGCACACTGTTTAAAATTTCAATAAATATTTTTATTTTTTAGATTTATGTATTGTGTGTGTGTGTGTGTGTGTGTGTGTGTGTGTGTGTGTTTGGGGGGGGGGGAGGAGAGGGGAGAGAAGGAAAAGGGAGAGGAGATCTGTCTTTTATCAGAGAGGTTCCAGGGCTCAAACTTAGGTCCTCAGGCAGCAAATGCCTTCACCCATTTTTAATAAAGAACAAAACAATAAGTAGATTCCCCACGACACACAGGGTCTCTCACAGCCATCTTGATTATGCAGCTGAGGACAGCTGTGAGCTACTGCCCTCCTCCTGCCTGTGTTTTCTTAGTGTCTACATTACTGTACCTAGATTCTTTAACTAGGTTTTCAAAAATCCTTTTTTTTTTTTTAATATTGAAAGTGATTAGCAGCAGGGTGCAGTGGTACATACCTGTCATCCCAGCACCCAGGACTGAGGTAAGAGAAACAGCAGTTCAAGGCCAACCTGGACTACAAAGTAAGACTGTCTCTTTAAATAAACAGTAACTCACAATTTTTATCTCTGCCTTTGATCCTTATATCTCCCGTTGACCTTATATACCCCACTGACCCTCTTCCTCAATGTGTAACTTATTAAACACACACACAAAACTTACAGTGCTAATAATAATTTTGAAAATGCAAACATCAAACTTTAATCATGGTGGCACACATCTTCAATCCTAGCACTATGCAAGCAGAAACAGGTGGATCTCTATGAGTTTCAGGCCAGTCAGGGCTATCTATTGAGACCTGGACCAAAAACAAACAAACAAATAATTGAATTCAATTATGTTTTAGCCTTCCCCCTTTTATGATTTTTATAAGACTGAGCACAGAAAATAAAAAAGTTTGAATTATTAAAAAATGAAAAATATAAGAAGCATTTATACCTATAGAGGAAGACTGTGGACTAATCAGAAGGTCCTCTTGAACTGGCTCACTTCCCGGCACTGTCTGCTGATCACTCAGTGAGCTCTGAGACGCACTGACAGGCTGGGACACTTCCTCATGGACTTCCTCATCACTTAATCTTTCTACTTTGACCTGCACATCTTCTTCTGTACCTAGAGGCAAGGTAGCTTTTGTGCTCTCACAAGTCACGTAGTCAGTCACTCTTCTACCTGCCTCAGACGGGCCAGGCAACTCTAAAGTCCGGGTATTTTCTGTCTGCTTTGCTTTCTCAGGCTGAATCCTTCGATCAATTCCAAAAGGGAAAGTCCATGGAAAAGCTAAGGAAGAGTCAACTGGCTGATTTCTATTATCTGCATAGGAAGTTGAGGAATTCAATACCTGGGGTGAACTTGTTTGTGTGCTACATTTTACAGGACTCTCGGGAGACATCACAATGTAGCTTTTGCGTTTCCTCCGGGATTCTCGGCAGACAGGAATGGTCCTTTCCACAACACTGCACTCTGAAGACACTGGAGAAATACTTCCATCTCGAGAAGTAAAATTGCAATTAGAACTATTTTCTTGCCCAGCATCTAGACCCTTTTCTGGTTGGCTATTGGGTGTATTCCACAAAATACTTGATTTCATGAACTCTGAACAGGTACTAGCAACACTAAACATTTGCATATAGCTGGCTGCAGCTAGAACATCAATAATATTTTCTGTATTAATTGACAGAGTGGCTGTGTAAGCGTATTCTAAAAGAGGTATAAAGCCAGTCACTGTAACATGATGAAGATCCAACACATTTTTGTTCTCATCCTCTGCTTGGCCCACAAGTTTTGTGCGAAAGAAATCACTGCAAGCTGCTAGTACCACCTTATGAGCCCGGAAGATTTTATCCTGGACACGAATAGTGATATCACAAAAATGTCCATCATTTCGTAACATATTTAGTTTTCCCAGCATTTCCTGGCTGTGGGAAGAGGAGCTGTGAGTAAATGTTTTCACACCCATCTTTTTTTTCCTCTTCTACTGATGCTCTTCAAGGATGCAATCAATCAGAAATGTCCTAAAAAATATAGAAAACAAAACACAAAATGATATCTTAATAGCTGAAATGGACTATTTATACCATTTTCATGTAACCACTGTGACAAATAAAAAGCCTAAAATAAGACAGTGAAAAATTTCAGGTATGGGAGGTATAAAGATATATTTTCTGGTCTGTTGTGGTATCAAATTCCTATAATCCTAGTAAGGAGACTGCCACAAGCTCAAGGCCAATCTGTGCTACACAGTAAGTTTGAAGCCAGTTTGGATTACAGGATAAGATCCTGTATCAAATAAATACAATGAATGCACAAATAATAAAAATATATTCTCTATGCCATCAACCAGTAGTCTTATTAATGAGCAGCATTTTTTTTTTTTTTTGATTTTTCGAGACAGGGTTTCTCCGTAGCTTTTGGTTCCTGTCCTGGAACTAGCTCTTGTAGACCAGGCTGGCCTCGAACTCACAGAGATCCGCCTGCCTCTGCCTCCCGAGTGCTGCATTTTTTTAAATTTATTATGTATACAACATTCCTTCCATGTATGCTTACATGCCAGAAGAGGGCACCAGATCTCATTATAGATGGCTGTGAGCCACCAGGTGGTTGCTGGGAATTGAACTCAGGACCTCTGGAAGAGCAATCAGTCCTCTTAACCTCTGAGCCATCTCTTCAGCCCCATGAGCAGCATTTTAAAATGATAGTCAAGTGACAATTATAGAGTGCTTTTATGTGCTAGAAATTGCTGTAAGTACTTAACACATGACAATCTTTTGACTGGCAAAGACACCTTGGTCAGAAGGTATGTAATTATCCCTGCTTCTAAATATGAACATGCAGTAAATAATTCAGGCAAGTACTATATAATGATTCTGTCAAATGTTTTATTCAGATAAAGGTATAGGAGAAAGGGAGAAGGGAAAAAGAAAGATTTCAAGATTTTTAAAAAGTCTGAATAATCTAATGGCCAGAGACAAAATTGTTCCCCACTTGACATCATGATAAAAGATAACAGAAGATAAATCTTAAGAAGGCAAGAGAGCTGGTATGGTAGAAATAATGCTTTGACCAAATCAAACCTCCAGAAACACTTACTCTGTTATGCAGATTGAAGTGTTGCTCAATCTTCCAAAGAAGAAAAATCAGGGAAGATCATTAAAAACAACCTCAAAACAAGCCCTACTCCATATATTTTTCCTAAATACATGAAATCACAGGCAGACATAGTAATGTGCATTTGTAATCCTAGCACTGTAGGGGCAGTACATTAGGAAAATAACCACAAGTTCAAGGCCAACCTGACCTACATGGTTAGTTAGTTCCAGGCCAACCAGTGATACATTGATTCTGTCTTAAAAAACTCAAAACAACAAAACAAAAAACAAACACCCAAACTCCAAACTTAAACAAACAAACAAAAACCCCAAATTAATCACAAAGAGATAATACAGTTAGGATTGATCTAGGCAGAAAATAACTTAATGGATCTGATAATTTTTTCTCTTATTTGTATAACAGAAAGTTGTATACATGTGTTGTTCATTGACTGTATGTCAGTAAATATACTTTGATTCCCATCATGTGGTTGACAGCAGTAGCATGCCTTCAGAGCAAATGATACTCAAGGCCTAGGGACCATTTGTATGAACTCAGATATTAAAAAACTAGAAATTAAGCGTCATAGTTAGAAAATGTTAAACAGAATCCTAAAATCAGACCACTTCAAACTTGATTTGGGTGGAGATCCTAGATACTGTACCAGCCTTCAAGAAAGTTCAAGGCTACCCAGACAAGAAAGGAGTGAAAACCTTTTTCAATCTGGTGTTACCTCCATCTTCTATGATTAAAGAGCCAGAAATTAAAAGAGGAGTTTTGCCAATAATCAGTGAGTCCTAAATTCCAAACACTATTCAACTCTCTTCTCTCCTGAAAGGAAAAAAGTAGTGACTGCCCTCAACTACATGGTGCCAATCAAAGTAATCACTCTTAAGGGCCCAACTTTAAAAGCAGAGGCATGTTTTCTCTTTATCTCAGGCCTATTATACTTGGGTAAATTCTGAAGGATATGAGTCTGATTTAAAAGCATAGAATGGAACCAGAATACTGGATTACCATCTTGATCATGTCATGTATATAATGATATGAAGTTTAACCTTTGTACTTTAATTTCTGCAGCAGTAAAACAGCGATAATAGAACCTATATCAGAGACTGGAGGCTAATTGAATACATAGTTAACAAGCAACAGAGAAAGAAATTCAGTAGTTGGAATAGTAGTAGTCTCTTTCAATCCTAAAAGTACCAAAAACTACAATTAGGCCCCTGGGATCTTTCTGTCTGTGTCCCCAGCTCTGGAATCACAGGTACATAACACCATGCCCAACATTTTATGAGTGCTGGGGGCTGAACTCAGATCCTCATGCTTATACAACAAGTACCTGAGCCACTGAGTTCTCTCTTCTGCCTGTTTCTATTTTTTGATTACGAATACTGCGGTTAAGGACAATCTCATACATATTGCATGGGGGCAAAGATTCTTAGTTTTTATAGGTCTATACATACCCCTAAACAACATCTACTCTTAAGACATATAACTTACTGCCTTTACCAGAGTTCTCCTTTTGGAAAAAGTACAAGACTTAACATACACACTGACTCCTAACATGCCTTCCACATCCTGCACTCACATGCAGCAATCTAGAAGAGGACTTTTAACTGGGGCTGCCCTAAACCCTAGCCAGGCTGCAGTTATCTACTGCACAAAACACAAAAGACTCAAGCTTCAGAAACATTGCAAAAATATCAGGATGGATAAAAAAAAAGGAAGGAAAGCTGTCCTTTAACCCTTCCCCGCCACTGCAGCCCTGGCTATTCATTTCCTCAATCAGTCCTGAGTATGGCTAAAAAGACAGGAGGAACCAATAGAGGAAGAAGCTAACAAAGAATGATTCTGGCTTTCCTTACAAGAAAAAAATAATCCTTCCTCTGTCAACAAGGCAACATCTCTCAGACTACATAATACTTATGTAGGGTGCAAGTCTCTCACAATCTCCATATTCCCCTTTATCTACTTCTCAAACCAGGAATTAAATTATAACTTTAATTCAGTAAAAACTGCTCTATGTGCAGGCCTTTCAGTCCTCAAGGACATCTCAGGCTAACCTCTTTCTTTCCTACTTAGTTGAGGGAAAACATATCTAGATAGGATTGGCAAATGGATTTCGTGCATATCTAAATACAAATAATGTAAGTGGTTTATTCAATGTTATTGACACCTTTTGGGGCTGCCTAGAAGTCAACCAGGTATTCTTACAAGAGATAATACACAGATCTGTCCTCTAACCATCATCTCCAGAATAAACAAACCCTTTGTCCCCTAAGCTGCTTTTGTGTCAGTAGTTTGTCATAGCAACAGGAAAAGAAATAATGATAACGAGCATTTTTATGCTTCAGCACTTTCAAGTTATCCCACCACAGGCCTTTTCTCCTCAACACTGGTATGCCTACCAAACCCTATCTTAGGAACTTACAGTTTGATTCTTAGAAGCCTGGTCAGAAAGCATGCTGGTCAACATTTCCTGGCACCCTCTTCATATCTCTCCCTACATCTTAAAATCAGGCCTGGAAACTGTATCCTCTTAAAGGACCTAAAAGGACAAACAACCTTTTCAACCAAGCGGAAGGTAATTCTCACCACCCTCACTTCAGCTAGGCTTTCAAGATTCTTGTCTCAGGTCTTGCTAAACTGAAGCTAACTTTTCACACTATACCAACAAATCTACAAGTGACTTGTTCCTCTTCAAAAACGTAAAATCCGCATGTCTGAAAAAGCAGGAATACTTGGGTATTACTCTAAATACCTTAGTAGTTTGCCCACTGTTCAGGCTATTGTGAATGCCCTAACTCCAGCCTGGAACAAATACTATCGGGGATTTCTAAGATTAATTACATCTCCAAGAAATTTAACCTTGTGTTTAAAAACTGCTGCATGAGCTGGAGCGACGGCTCAGTAATGCTCTTCCAGAGGAGCCGGGTTTAGTCCCTAGCACCCATACAGCTCACAATTTCAGTAATTCCAGTCCAAGGGGACCTGATGTTGTCCTTTTCTGGCCTTCTGAAACATTTAGTGCACACATGTACATGCAGGTAATGTGCCTATGTACACTAAATAACAAAATAATAAAAACTGTTTAAAATTTAAACAATCCTTAATTTTGGGTTTTCTTGTTCTTCTCCTGGGTCAGTGTTTTAGAGCCTATGTATTTCCAGCTGTGTGGTAATCATTTCTTCTGCTTACATTATGACTCTACTATTTCTACCAAATGACCTGAACTTCTTTTATTCACTCTAGAAATTCTGTTAACTTTGTTCTAGAAATTCTAGATACTTTGTTATCATGACTTACAGTTCACTATATACTACAAAACCATCCAAAAGGGCATAAGAGCATGAACTATACTAAAACACTCTAGTTAAAGACTGTTGGGCTTATTATGTTCTCATTCCCTGTCTACAAGGCTCACCCCAGGCTAGAGAAATGGCTCAGCAATTAAGATCATTTGTTGTTCTTAGAGAGGACCCAGGTTCAGTTCCCTGAATCTCTACACTGTATCTTAAAAATTTTTAACTCCAGTTCCAAGGTATCCAATGTCTTCTGGCTTCCTTGGGCATCAGGCAGACATATAGTACATATACAATCATACAAACAAGCAAAACCATAGATATAAAAACAAATATTTTTTTAAAGTGTAAAAATTTTAAAAATGTAACAAATCTTTTAGAATGGGTTAATCATCAACAACATCTTCCACATTCAAAAGTCAATGACATTATCATTGTTCTTCATATAAAGGTTCAAATTCTCATTCTCAATGATAGATCCCTACAAATATTCAGTACTAACATGAATTTAATTCAGTACTAAGTAGAGAATTTATGGGTAAAATGGTGGCTCTCTTTAGACCTGAGTAAGAGCAGTGAGCAAGTAGCCATGTGACACATTCTGAATGCTACTCTTGCAT